TTCCTGTTTTGGACACCTTCTCTTTGCTGATGATACTCAGATATCTATCTTGAATTCACACCTCTTTTCTGGAGCTCCAAACCCGTGTATCCCACCACCTTGATGTCCAACAAATAGCTCAGATTTAACATGTCTAAAATGTCAATTGCCTCTTTTTCGTTTTACCCTCTCCAAATCTGCTTACCACCCCCAATCTCAGTTGATTGATGTTCCTTCAGAAATCCTGGAATCATCATTGACTGCTCCTTTTCTCTCATAGCCCATTGCCTGGTCTGTCCACAAAAATGCGTTCCTTCCACTTTCGAAATATATTTAGACTTCTGCTTCTGGTCGTGATAGAGGAATGGATACTGGGTTTGCCCTCTTGCTGAAAACAACTATAAAATTGATGGAGTATGTGAAACATCTGTGTGAAAGCATTGGAAAACAGGCAGTGCAGGAATACAATCCCTGAGAGATGGGAAGCACACACAGTGTTTACCCATTTCTGTGACTGGGGACAATTTCCCGACACAGCACNATATATATATATATAAATTAATATACTGCCGTCAAAAACAATAACAAGCTACTTTGTTGCAAGTTCTCAACATCCCTATTTCTGTTTCCATATCAAGAAAGCTGCCTGTGTATACCTGCAGGCTGCCTGTCCATCAGTGTGAATTCCTAGGATTTGGGTTATGGCAGAGAGCCTGGGACGGACTCCTTTACAGACGTCATGTCAGAGCATGCATCCTCTGATTTGGAATGTCCTTTGGTGTTCGATAGTATATATAGCTAATATAAAGAATATGAAAATAAGTAACAGAAAGACAGTGAAAGGAACTACTATTTGAGTGCCTGCCTATTCCTGTTACACATTGAACAGATTATTTGCTTACATTATGTAACCTCATCCCACAACAACTCAGTGAGATGGGTTTCATTCCCATTTACGGAGAGGTTAGTGAAGCTCAGAAAGGCCAAGTACCTTGACTGTGGTCTGTCAGAGAAAAATCAGAGCCGGTCAGCGGTTACAGCAGTAAAAGCAGATTTCCTTCAGGATCTATTATTGCAATAGAGGAAAGGAGACCGCAGGGTAGAACTGGGCTCAGTTCTGAATATGGCACAGACAAGTGGGGAATTACAGCCAAGGAGCGGGTGTGGGAGTCATGGATGGGTAACCACTAAGAGGAAACATCAGAAATAACGGTCAAGGGATGAGTCTGGTGAAACAGACCTAGCAGGATTGTTGCTGAAAGCAGGCCTGCCAGATCAAATATCGCTTGGGCGATGGTGGCGGAAGAAGAATTGGATCTGATATGGAGGATGGGGCGTTCTTGCTAAACTCACTTCGGAGATTTTTGCTACAGCTGGGCCGTACAGGCCCTACAAGGATGCACCCTGAAAGTCGAGTCCTATAGGGCTTCGAAGAACCCGGCTAGAGTTGGGTTTGAGGAGCAAGTCTGTGTCAGATGTTAAAACCAGCAAGACACCGAGCTGGCACTGAGACTCAGGCCTGTCTGACCCCATGGCTTGTGTGGTTTTTTCACCAGTGCTCCTTGCCACCTGGAAGCTTCTAAGGGGTCTGTGCCTTGGCAGCCGATGGGAGGGCAAAGAAGTTAGGTGCCCCAGGTGCCTCCACAGAGTTCCCAGGTTTTCTACAAGGTATAAGGACACCTTAAAGTTTCATCTCTCTGTTGACCTCTTTTGGAGTGTCAGTTACAGGCTAAGGTTCTTGTCAGGAAGCAACCGATCCAGTGCCTGAGCAAAAAGGCTACACTTACCTTCTGAACTTTTACAGAAAAAAACTTTAGAAATCCTAGCAAACATCTTCATATTTTAAACCGTTATGTATTTTAATGTTTATGACCTGGCAGGATTTAAACTCTGAGATTGAGTGGATTATGAAAACTACCCATTTCTTTTTCTCAAGTGCCTCGCTTGTGTTTCTGACCTATTTGGCTTATTCGTAGCCTTAAGTGAACATTTTCTTTTGTAATAAAAAGAAAACACATATACACACACTCATTTTTGTAGCTTTTCCAGTGACATCAGGAAAATGTCTGCCAGGAATGCTTATTTGCCAACTAATAATAATAAAAAAAAACAGTGACTCTTCCTTTAATCATTTTCTGTAGGTCATTTAGAAGGCATTAGTACCAGATTTGTTTCCCCAGTGCAAATGCTTTTCAGAGCAGAGAGCAGCTGTCAAGCCTGTTTGGTTATCAACGGGATGTCCGTCCCTGATTTTCCAGTCTGTGAAGATTTAATGGCTTGATCATAAATTCCATTTTAGGCATTGGGTGGGTGGGGGGTAGCATGGGGAGGGAGAGTGGCTTTTCTAATGCTAAAAAGGTGTACCATACGCACATGTATACATTTTTGTGAGGTATTTGTGACTGTCGAGGTTGTGTCTGTCCCTTCTCACAAAATACTAAATTCATTTTTTTAAAGGACAGATACTGCTTTCTAAGACCCGTTTCATGAAAGTAAGATGTACTTTAGAACGTGGATAAGTACAACTAACAGCTATATCCTGGTTTAAGACATTTGAATGAGAATTGCCAGTTGAATTTTGGAGAGAACACATCATTGGAGGTAGGAAGTTTTCTTTGCCATGGAAGTTACCCATGAACACCATGGTAAGTGAGTCCTTCACAGAGACTGATTCTGTGTACGTGAGCAGGTGCCCTTACACAGGGATGGTAGAAGCATATGGGAGTCCCCTTCATCCTCAGGGAATATGTATCAAGACCCCCAGTGAATGCCTGAAACCATAGATAGCACCAAGAGCTATAGCCGCTATGTTTTTTTCCTGTACATACTTAACCTTTTCACTTCAAGGAAGTACTTTATGGCTTCTCTTTGTCATATCCAAATTGTCAGCCTCCCCACTCTTAACGCTTTGGGGCCATCATTAAGTAAAATAATTAATTTTACTTAATTACATGAACACCAGCACTGCCACACCACGACAGTCGATCTGGTAACTAGGAGGCTACTAAGTGACTAACGGTGGGGAGCATGTGAAGTGTGTGCAGATGCTGGAAAAAGGAGTGATTCATGTCCTGGGAGGGCACGAAATTTTATCACGCCAGTCAGCGCGCAATTTAAAACTTATGAATTTTTTATTTCTGGAATTTTCCATTGAATATTTTCAGAACTTGGTTGACCATGAGTAACTGAAACCATGGAAAACAAAACCGCGGATAAAGGGGGACTCCTGTATTGCCAGCTGGATGCCAGGACGTTTGTTTCATTAGTCCATGCTTTACATCAGCATCTGTCTGGAGCAGTAAATAGGATGTCCCTTAGGATATCAACCTGTTCCTCCCTGTAACACTTGCCAGCAACCTAAAGGGACATTTTTTCTTGAGATCTGAGCCTAATTATAGGAGCCATAGATTCCAAAGTTTTAATTGTAATTAATTGTAACCTTTGACCCTTTCTGAGGTCTTTGGTAATTTTGTCTTCTAACCATTTATTTTATTCATGTTTCTAGAATAGTGCAACATAGGCTCACAATCTCTTATCCAAAATCTTTGGAGTTATATATTATTTAATTTTCTTGGTGGGTCTGAGACATAAGGAACATTAAAATTTCTTAGCATAGTGAATGATTTTTCATACTAAATGGGATCAGTAAAATCCATAAATAACTTCATGTCAATTTTGATCAGGTTTTGATACTAAACTAGTTTAAAAACTAGATTTTTGGAGGTTTTTAATTTCAGATGGGTGTGTTAACTAATCTTACTGTGATACTCATTTCACAGAAAAAAAGTACATATCAAATCATCGCATTTCATACCTTAGATTTACAGACTGTTATTTGTCAATTATATCTCAATAAAGCTGGGAGAAAAATTGGATTTCAGATTTTTGGATAAGCAATTTTGGGTCAGTACCACAAAAGCATTTTAAATCTGTTGATTTATTTTGAAAGTAATTTTTGGGGTCTTTATGGTCTGATATTGTATATACTTTAAGTTTATGTGTCTTCAGAACTGAAATGACTAATTTAATTCAGACATATTAGATTTTACAGGTGTTTTTTTTTTNTTTATATCTGTTCCTGTATCTGTCTCTATCTGACAACCATAAGGTCTTACTGTTTTCAGTCCTAATCCAATACCACAAAGTATGTTCTAGACTTTTCTCCTTTCTGTGTTTATGCCTTCCATCTATGCAGCGGTTCTCAACCTGTGGGTCGCGATCTCTTTGGGGATCGAACGACCCTTTCACAGGGGTCGCCGGGTACTCGTACATGGGTGTGTCTGCATGTGGGCCTGGAGACGTATAGAGGAGCGGTGTCTCAGTTCCTAAGACCTTCGAAAATACGAAAATACGTGTTTTCCGATGGTCTTAGGCGACCCCTGTGAAAGGTTGAGAACCGCTGATCTACAGTGAGAATCCTGGCTCCGCTTGTCCTCAGTATATTTACTTATGTGCTCTGCCTCCCCATGTGGAAGGGCTATCGGTGCTGCTAAACTGTAATCCAAAATCCCGACCTGGCTTCACAAAGCAACGCAGGGTTCCAGTCAAGCAAAATAATCAGTATAAATAAGCATATTTGGATAGTAAGTAAATTTTTTGAACAACAAATTACTCTACCTTACTGTTCTTGTAATAAAGAAGTGTCTTGGGTCCTATGGAGGGATTTACCTGATAGATAATGAAGGCATAGGCCAACAGTTTATATCCATGTACGCAGCTGGACCGAGACGTTAGGACCAGAAAGTCTGTTATTCTCAAGTTTCCCGTTAATGCAGAAAGTAATTGTTACAAACCCATCACTGTTCTATTACACATCCTCAGGCATGTAAGATTTGTAAAGTCAAAGTATATTAGAAGTATAGGTCATGTTGCTATGGAGTGAATGGTCAAAGTTGTCCATGTTTTTCTGATTCTGAGAACGGATGTTTGATTAATGCTAAGCATCAAGCTTCAAGAATTGTTTACCCTTTGCAATGTTGTCAGAAACGTGCTACTATTAACTCTGGGAATTGTCTTTTCAGACGCTGTCTTCGCATTTCAGTTACGCAACCCAGTGCACAATGGACATGCTCTATTAATGCAGGATACCCATAAGCAACTTCTAGAGAGGGGCTACCGGCGCCCTGTGCTTCTCCTTCACCCGCTTGGGGGCTGGACCAAGGATGATGATGTCCCTTTGATGTGGCGTATGAAGCAGCATGCTGCAGTGCTGGAGGAGGGCGTCCTGAATCCTGAAACAACAGTCGTGGCCATCTTCCCATCTCCCATGATGTATGCTGGACCAACTGAGGTAGACGGCTTTCCAGATTTTCCCTGCAGCAGTGCTGAAACTACTCTTACTAACACAGCTAGTGTCAACAACAGATCTGCCTGTTGATTTTGCTCTGATCTGTAGGTCTGTTGCAGACATCAGGTGTGTCCAGAGTACGCTCCTTCTCTGTCCCGGATGTTCTCTAGGGGTGCCTCCCTCCACCCGGCAGCCTTGGGAAAGGCCAGGCAGGGGCACGCTTCTCTTGCTCTTATTGCAACTCTTGGTCCCAGGTGTGTGGGAAAAGCTCTCTGCAGGCAGAGGGCTCGGTGGGCTTGGGCAGGTATGACACGGGTGCTCTGTAACTGCTGGCCATGTTACAGACACAGCTCTGACGACGTGGGCCTTAGCCCTGTAACAAAGTCCTAAGTCACTCTTCCCAGGGGACAGATTTGGTCTGATTTTTTTTTTTTTTCTTCTGAAATTTGGAAGGGCCAATGGTATTTCAGTAAGAAGAAAAGTGTAGTGTCTTAAAAAACAAAGCTTTTCGGATTGGAGCATAATAGAGTCCGGAAGTTAAATTGCTTCTTGATATTGGGTGGGGAGAGGCGTGTCCTGCAGCTCTACTTAGAGGGGTCAAAAGGGATATTTTGAGTTCTTTTAGAACCATACATAAATAGGACCTAATTAGGTTTTTATTTCAAGGCAGAGTAGGTTTTCAAAAAATATTTGTTGAATGAATGAATGAATCAATGAATGACCCAGAAAACAGTGTGTGAGAAATGGCTAGCCAGCTTCTCGTTGAGTTCCAGGTTAAGAACAGACGGCACGTTGTTACCGCGTTCTTTTTCACCCCCACCTTTCAGGGAGATGGATTTACTGAGATTCATCTGGGGGACAAACCCTTTTAGAAAGGATTAAATAATGTAGTTTTATATACTCTATGATGTCTTCCTCCAAAAAAAAAGTTTAAAAGGAAAGCCAAGCATGTTTGGCTATTTTTTGGGAGCTAGCCTAAAACCTTTTATTTGGAGCTAAGTTGTGGGGTTATAGACTCTCTTACCTCTTTATCCAAGAAAAACAGGCAAACAAAATAGTCACAACATGCTGAAAGGTTGAAATGGGTTTGACTCTTCTCTTGGATCCAGGGAATAATGCGTTAGAACTTCCATGTTAGGTAACACTACTTGTATTCTTCCCTCTTGGTTGGTATAAAATGTTGATAAGTATTGGGCAGTGGTAGCCCTATGAGTGTCCTTTTTACCTCTCAAAGAGGAACTAAATTGTTTTGGAAATAAAATAACAATTTTATTACAATAGTTCTCCAACTTATCCTTCGGTGCTGTCTTCCTCTCCTACTACTACTTCTCCCCCTCCCCCATCATCATCTTAAGGGAATCATTTGGTCGGAAGTTCTCCAAAATTATAGGATGAACGGCTTTCAATGGGAAATGACCCAAGTGAGTTTAGCATCAGGAATGGGTTTATGATCAATAACCTCATTAAGAGCCATCAAGGAAAGGAAAGGAATTTACCTTCCCTATTTAGGGCATGTTTTGTCCTCTTCGTGTTTCTTATTCCTTGAAAGGGGAAGAGATATGACATTTTATTAAAGACATAAACTAAAGACTGCTGTTTAAAAGGTGGCAGTGAGGGGATAGATA